TTATATTTATTAACTTGTATTTTATATTAGATAGTTATTATTTATTATATATTAGTATTTATTAGAGAGTTAAAGCCACTGTAACACATAATGTGGCTAAAGTTATATACGGCCCTCAAGTCCTTCAACTATATCTTCAAGTCCATCAACACGGCCTCTATCTCTCTCAACTCCCTCTACTCCCTCAACACAGCCTCCTACTCCCTCAAATACGTCCCTCAACTTCCTCAAGTACAATGTTACATTTCTCTCAAGTCCTTCTTCTATTCTGTAAAAGGTATATAAAGGGAGCCTTAATTCTTTCTTGTAAAGATAGATCATATACAGATATCTATAAATCTAATACAGCTCTTAGATAGATCTCAATTACCTCTCTCTCATAGAATTAGTCTTGTAATTCTCTTTTGTATAACTCTCTTTAGGATCTCTAAAAAAGGTTATCCTCTTGTCCTATAATAAACAAAGGTTAAAAATACACTATCCTAATACCAAACTGCTTACCTTCTGCTTGTGGATACTTAATTGTACTCTATATCCACCCCATGTATATTCCAGTAGCAAAATCCCTGCACCGGGTAACCTTGTTATGATGCTATGTGGTTACAAAGAAGGCCATAGCATTGTAACACTAGACATGTTTCTTCAATAAAAATTGTGTTTTTTTTTGGTAGAAAATTTTAGTAAAGTGATCACTGAAGAGTGTTTGTCAAAAATTGGTTACACTTAAACTTAATATAGCCTTTTAAAAAACATTTATTTATATAAAAAATTTTATAAAAATAAAATTAGTTAAAATTTATAATTTTAACCAGAAGTTAAAATTAGTTAAATTCTAAAGTTTATATTAATAATATATAAAAAAAAGTTTATATACATTTTTAACCAATCAAAATTCATTATAAAAAAGGCTAAACAATCATGTAATCCCAAATTTAGCTCTTAAAAAAAAAAAAAAATCTTTAGCTGTCCCAAACTATACCAGTAAACCAATTAGAATTTCCAAATAAATCATACAATTGTTATTCATGCATAATTACCCAAATTTTCTGTAGTTTTATTTATTTTATGAAGATTAAAACGAGGGCGTCAATAGAAATCAAAATATCTCAACTGGTGTTAAAAATTTTCTAATCGATTAGTTGAGTAATTAATTACTTTTTTAGTTGGCAAACTAGTTGCAACTAATCGATTAATTGTTAAATTGCAATAATCAATTAATCGATTTTTCGATTAATTTTAAGTTATAACTAATCGATTAGTTGGTATATAAAAGTTCATCGATTAGTTGTCAACTAAACCACTAATCGATTTTTTCAACTTTCGATTTGTACTAATCTTAATAACTACTTGATAAATTTTTTTGTTATTTTAATTCTATAACTATATAGAATTAAATAAAAAATTTTTTATCAAGTTTGGTTAAATAGTTGAAACATTTTAACTTAAAATTGAAAAAAAATTTACTTAGAAACAATTTGCTCGGTTTCTATTGACGCCCCCATATCAAGGAATAAGAAAAATTTTCACAACCAATTGAATCTTGATCTTGTTTAATACGATAATTCAGCCTTCTACACAATCAATAAAAATACGTAAGTTTACTCAATTAATATTATTGTCTGGTGCAAAAATGTGCCCGTAAACTGCCGTATACAAGATCCCCCCAGCTACAACATGGGATAAAGCTTTGGTAAAATGTAAGCGATTTGGGGTATACAAATAGGAAAAACCCAATAAAATAGAATTATCAGACTCATACCCATACAAGAGACCTACGAGTCTAATAATAGGTTTTAAAATTGATAAAATGAATTAGACCCGGGTCTTGTATACGGCAGTTTATGGTAGAATCGTTACCTGATTAATGTTTCCGATAGAAAACTCATAACAGATAATAAAGCCACAGAGCATACAAACATTGTATAGGGTAAGAATGGTTCCAAACTTTAAATTTTTGACAAGCGTAATAGTTTTTTTTTTTTTTTTCCCATGGATGCTTCGATAGAGATCGAAGCCCGCTAACTAACAACGAAGAAGGATGATTTTTAACGTCCACCAATACTTTTTAAAAGCCCAACAACGTTCAACTCAACATCAGAACGTATCTTTACGCAAGAAGGTTTTGGCAACAGTTGTGCTTGTGATTGCTAAGCAAAAAAAAGCTGGGCCAGCCGAAAGAAAACTTGACAATAGTGCTCCCAAACTTGTTCGTACCCCTATTATGTCTACAGATAATTCCAGTTCCCCACTTTCAACACAGGCTTGGTGCTGCAAAAAGGAACGAAATTGACATAAAAAAATTCTTTACAGAAAGATAATTATCTCGCGAACTATCGATTTGAATTAAATGATTTTGGTACCTTTTGGTCCGTCTCATCGAGACAAATCGGATGGTACCAAAATCATGTAATTCTGATCGATTATTTTGTGAGATAATTAACTTTTTATAAAGAAGTTTTTTATGTCAATTTCGTTCCTTTTTGTAGCATTAATCCACGTATATTACGGCAAAAACTTGAAGTATACTTCATGTGTTGGGTACCATTACGGCCGTGGTGAAAAACGGAACATATTGCATGAATTACCGGCAAATTTAACTACTATTTGCGGTGCAGGTTCAAAAAAACAACAAGGTTCCAATAAGGCCAGAGGTTTTTTTAGGCGAGTCATATTGTTACCTCCATCACACTACAAATTACACCTGGGTTCCAAGTCATATCGCATACTCACCAGAACGTGGTCCCTTAATTGTTATTTTTGGTGCCATACTGGTAATGCGAAATGGTAATACGAACAAGCTTTATGTCGAAGTCATTCCTAATTCTGTTTTAATGTGGGATCCATCAATTAAACCACCACCATCCAAGGGAAGAAACCGAACAAATGCAAATGGCTGGTATGACGTGTTGAAGTTGTTCGAAACTCTAATATCACGGTAGATCGTGTTGATTATCATGGTAATTTTATGGGTAAGATCTTTTTGAAAAACTTTGTAATAATATTAAGAAACGCTAATGGACCAGCGGATGGTGCTCGCTACCACAAACGTCGAACTGAGCAAGTGCCAACATCAAACTCGAATGGAGCTGCGTTGATTGCATGGTTATCATCAGATGGTATTGGCATTCCGGAAAATCCTAGCAAAGCAGAACGATATGAGTTAGTGAAATTGAATAAGGAAAATGTACATTATGCATGTGTTCAGACAGCTAAAAAATATGGTCACGATTTGTTTTACACCCTGCCTTATCATTATCATTGTGAACACTAACCGATTGAGGGAGTTTGGGTCAATTGTTAAAGATGAAGTTGCTAGAACTGGTCCCCATCCGAATCTCCTAGCAATTATAAGTAAATTATTGTATGCTTTTAAGGAAAAGGTTACTGCTAAAGCTATCATTGGGTTTTGGAGAAAATCACTTGATAAGGCCATAGAGTATAAAATTTTAAATGATAATGTATTATTGGCCGAAAGTGATTATGAAGATTTCGAAATTGAAGGAAATGAGTGATTAATAAAATTTTTTATAAAAGCATGAAATTTAATAAAATTTACATTAAAATATTTCCCAAAATCTATACAATAAATAAAGTTATTTAAAATGTTTATATTAAATTTTAAAAAAAAAATTTTTATTATAAGCATATTGATGTATCTACATTTTTGCACCGGACAATATCCACCATAGTAGAAACACTAACCAACACTGATTTTCGCCTTTTCTGGCAAACTATCCAAGAAATCAAACAATATTTCTTGTGGTAATGTTCTGAATCCTCGAGTCTTCGAAACTGGACCAAAGTTATTATTAATAAATCTCATTGCTCGCTTTTTTAAAGCATGAGCGCCGGCAACGGAAGCACAGTGATAAATTCTAGCTACGTTCTCTGTATCAAATTTCATTTGCAGCCGAGCACAGCAAAGTGACGTAAGCCGCGAAATGAGGTACATATTTCCCAACACCATAAGATCAGCGATGGTATCTACAGGAAGGCTCTCGTCAAGTGTATCTGTATATAGGAAGTAAATGAATGCTTGAACTGTAGAAAATGGCTCCGGAATAGTCAGGGATTTAGTATGGGATTCCGTCATTCCAGAATTGCACATATTGGCAAAATGAGGCCATCTGGCTAGAAGTATAATTTTGTGAACATGGATTGATGGAGAATTTGCATCATCTGATCTCACAATGAAATCTGATGTGTTTTTATCATTCATTAATTGTTGAAAATCCCACCCAATGGTTGGCGGCGGGATGTTGGAAATTCCATATTCTTGAAGATCAATGGAAAGAACATTAGAGAAATACTCGTCAGATTCCTTTTCATCGACTCCAAAAAGGAAAAATCTTGAACTATTTTCTGCCATGGCAAAACAATGCCAGTTACCCTGAACCAATCGATCACCATCTTCAAATTTATGCCAGTGAAATGTATCCAAGTCTAACGACCAAACACCAATAGATACATCTTGTGCTCCATGTTTAATGCATTGAGTAACTACCACAACCAATTGATTCCCGTACAGTTGGGCAAAATGTTCTCCTGCATTCATTTCAGGACCAGAATCACTCGTGATTTCAATTTTTGACACATACTTCGTGTTAATGTCCATAATAACTAGTGACTTTTCTCTATCCATTTCCTCATTATATCCTCCATAAAGGTAAAGCCGATTTCGAAAAATAAAAGAAACATGTGAGTGTCTTGGAACTAATGAAATTGGAGGTTCCCATGTCCAAGTTTGTAAATTTAAACAATTAACCTCAGATGATGCATCATTGTCAGAACAACCTCCCACTATATATAATTTATCATTATGGATAGTAGCGGAATGCTTGGAACGTCCTTTAGGATAATTGCCAAACACTTCTGGACGTTCCCATGTCATAGACTTTAGATAAAGAATGACTATATCATCACAATATTGATCTTCATCGTCTGTGCCACCAAAGATAATCAATTTATCCAGATTCCACAATGAAGCTGAGTGGTTAATCCTTTTCGACGGACGAACACCCTTCAAATAAATCACGTCTTCCCATTTCATTTCAGTGACATTTAATCTATACAAGTCATTATAAACTTCATCAGTATACATATGGAATCCGCCAAATACATAGATATAATTTGGCAGTTGACCAGGATCATTGCCATTAGGGACAACTGTTACTGATGCATTAACTAGACAACTTAAAGAAACTCCTGTAGCTTTTGTTGGGTATGGGCTTGACGGTAAAAATGACAAGTTTTTATCACCGTGGATAAGATTAGGCGTTGTAGCAAGTGTTGAAGAAGAAGAAGGTGAAGAAGTATCTTGAGGCGAGACAGAAGTTTCTGAAAACATTTCCTTTAAGCTTCGAATTGCGATTTGGAAGAAGATTATTAACTAAGCCGTAAACAATATAAAGAATGTATTCTCTGTTGTTTTCAAAGTATTATTACAAAAAAAAAAAAAAAAAAAGAAAAAAAAAATTTGTTAACGTCTTTCTGTACTCTAGAAAAATTTTTGCGAGTCTATTAATCAGTTTTGAATTTACATTCGTTACGAGAAGGTTTTGATTTGTCACGAGGTATGATGATCATCATAACACTAAGTGCCGATCAGACCCGGTTTTGCAAAAAAGGAAAAAAGGTAAAAGGTACAGTCAAACAGTCAAACCTTGTTATAATCATAGTCATAGTCACTCTTTGATATATAATTACAACTTTGTATATAGTCACAACTTTTATAATACAGTATATGTCAATATTTAATAGCATATGCATCTCCGCAATAAAATTGCTGGATTTTATAAATGAAATTGATCATCAGTGATGCCTAAGTCGAGACGTTTTTCCTGAACAATTTTCTATAAGTCATGCTAACTTCTAAATTATGAGTCCGGTCCGGTCCTAGTGGCACGAACCTACTGAAAATTTATTAGTCGTTTATGACGATTCTGTTAATATTAATGGAAGCTGGTTATTTAACCCGATAATACAATGAATTTTGAAAATAATAAACAACATGTACTGTACGTATTGAATGCTTAACTAGAGGTTGGAACCGGTTTTAAATATTCGAGTTTATCACATCAAAATTCGAGTTTATCACTCCAAAATTCGA